CGGCGAGGGGGACTAGCCGGGGTTGCAGGCGCGAGGCGGCTGGCCCGCGTGCCCTGCTCGGCTGCTGGCGCCGAGCAGGGGCTGGCGGAGGCGGGTGGCGGCTTTGTCAGGAGTACACAGCGCGCGCGGCGGGCGGCGGCGCTCCGGAGGCTGCTGGCCGCTCATTGCGGCGGCGGGCAGACACATTGCACCAGCGCCCGCGGCGTGATGGCGATTCATCGAGGGTCCCAAAGTGACCAGCTAGCACAATTAGGCAATCTGGCACGGGAGTTGGCCAGTCGGAGGCTGGGACCAGCAAGCTGGCACTCGCCTCTTCGGCTCTCGCGTTGGTTGCCTCCTCCAGCGCCACCACGGCCCGCCGCTCGGCCTCATCGGTGCGTGGACCGCCTCTGAAGACCGAGAACCAGCCCGCCGAAAGGCTGCGCTGTGAGGGAGGGGCCTGTGGGCGGGTCGGCGGCTGCGCCCTCTGGTCTGCGGGCGCCAGCACCGCGGAAACTCGCACAGCGCCCACCGTCCTGTCTCGTTGTGGGGACGCCGGCAAGCTTCGGGCAGGTCGAGCGAGGTTGGCGGGCTGCATAGCTGCTCAATACCGCCCGCAGCGCTAAGAAGACATGATATGCCACTAGAGGAGGCACATGCACGAGGCAATGGACTTTCGGAGCACCACGCGTCCCCTTCCAAACGTGTGCCTGCTGGGCGCTACAGAAGTACAGAATGCTGGTGGGAGGGGGCTCCCTAGCCTTGGACAAAGCTCATGGAGGCGATTGGAGTCTGAAGTGCAAGGCCCAGGATGGCCGGTAGTGGCGCCACCCCCGCCGGGAGCTTGCCGCTGCCGTTGCCGCCGCCGCCGCCCAGCAACACATCTACCAGGCGCTTCACAAGTGCATTACAGTCGGTGCGTGATCAAACGTGCATTGAAGCAAAAATCTTCAGAATCAGGCATCAGTAATGCAGTACGGCATATGATGTACGTCGTGGATGTACATGGAACAGCTGCATGGCGAGGCCCGGCCCAGGGCTCTTCTTGCCTGCACTCAAGGCGCAAACTTATCAATGCCCTGCGAAGAGCCCTTGTCCGTGCCGGGCTCGGATGCGTTGCGGTCGGAGGCGGCAGCGCCGGGGAGGCTGCCTGGTGGGCTGCCCTCGCCGGCCCCACCCAGCAGCTTGTATGCATCCAAGCCAAGCCCAGCAGCGACGATCAAACCAAAGATGACGGAATAGGTGGCGACAGCCCAGGTGCCCACATCATACACGTTGATGATGCCCCTGCAGGGCCGGGGGAGGGGCCAGAGTGTCTGTGCCACCTATGCACCGCTGCCGCCTGCTGGAGTGGGTCCCACCACCGAGGCCTGCCGCAAGCCATTTGCGCGCCCGTGGCCCACTCACTCGTAGATATTTGCCACCGCAACCACGGCAGCTGCCCGGCCCACCCAGTGGTGCACCGGCTCCCAATACTTGCGCAGCCGGGTGCCCGGGTGCGGCCTGCAGGCACAGTCACGCCTGACATCAGGCGCATGCCCCTGGGCAGCAGCGCCGGCGCCGCCTTACTGACACTGCTGTGGCAGCCCGACGCCGTGCCTACTGCAGCGCGGTGTGGGCAACGCTGCCGCGGGCTACGATTCAGGCTGCGGAGGCGCCTCGCCCTCTGCCGCGCAGCGCCGCACCTGAGGACCAGGGCGAAGAGCTGGAAGAAGCCCATGGACATGGCGGAGATGCCCAGGCGGCGGTGCACGGTGTACGTGGACACGCTGGTGCCGGTGGCCTGCTGCACCGCCACAAAGATAAGGATGAAGCCCGCCAGGGCGCACGACATACCCAGCACCTGGATGGCCCTGCAGGGGAGGTGGTGGCAGCGGGGTGTGGGGGCGATGGGGCTGCACCTCCTCTCGGTTGGCTGCCACCCATGCCTCCCGACTTGCTGACAGCAAGGCACAAGTGGCAGTGCAGAAGCACAGCTGGCAGGACGGGCCTGGGCCACAAGCCAGCCTCCCAGCCGACCTGTGCATGTGGAACCACAGCGGCGGCTTGACCCCCTTGCCGTGGCGGGCGGTGAGGATGCCGAGCGGGATGAGCATGCCCCAGCCCGTCGCCATCAGCCAGCCGTGGGCCTGCAGGGCATGGTGGCGGGGCGTCCATGCTAGGTTGACACGAACAGAACGGGTGGTTGCTGCACTGCAGCCCAGTCGGCGGGCATGGTTGCCGTTTGCAGCAGCCAGCAGCGGCGGCGGTGGCGTCACACAAGGCAGGGGCCTCACGTTCTTCATGCGGGTGATGTGAGCGGCCTCCCCCTCCACGCTCCCGCTGGTGCCCGACGCCCAGTTGGCGGTGGAGGCACCCCTGCTGTCGTGGTACTGCAGGCCGCCGCCTGCGGGGCAGCCAATCACAGACGCTCAGCCACGCATGCGCAAGGCAGGCAGCAGTGCACACACCGGCGGCAATGCTGCGTTAGGTGGGCAAGGTGGCGGCAGGCGTGGGCTCCTGAGCGGCAGGCACAGCAAGGAGGGGATGAGAGGGGATGGCTCACTGGAATCTAGGCGCCCTGCCGCCAGGATGATGGGGAAGGCTGGGTTGCTGGCTGCTGCGCTGTCCAGCTGGACCTGCAGCCGGCAAGGTGGCCCACGGGCAGCTCAGGGCACGGGGGGAGGCACAGACAAGCCTCCTGGCTGACCTCCGCCTACACGCATACACCACACACACACACACACACACACACACACACACACACACACACACACACACACAGACCTTGATGGTGCCATGCATCGTGCCGTCGCCGGCGGTGGACGCAGACGCATCCGACACTGCCAGCTGCCCAGGCGGCTGCACCCCAGAGGGCGAGCGCTGGGCCAGGAAGTAGTCGCCAATCTCGGCGCCTGCACATTCAGCGGGCACGTGGGCATGTGAACAGGCAGCAGGCATGTGGGCATGTGTGGGCGGTCGCCAGCCCTGAGCCTCCTCTTCCCTCGTTGCCCCAAGAGGCAAGCTGTGGAAGCGGCGTGTGTTGCGCTGTGAGGTCAGGTGGGCCTCCCGTGCTCCCCTACGAGCAGCAGCTGCCTCCGACTGGGCCCCCCCTGCCTATGCTCACCAGAGGCGCAGGCGGTGCATGTCTTGAGGATCATGGCTGTGGAGCCCAGCATGCGGCCCTCGGTGGCGGGGAAGCCCACAGCCACCCACCCGCCTGCCGCCGCCATCAGGCCCAGCGCCAGCGTGCTGGTGTTGCCGGCTGCAGGCAGGTGCGCATGCCGGGCAATCGGAGCTGGGGCTTGAGCGGCGCCAGGCATTGCGGTGCAGAGACACTAGAATGGGCAAACAGGACAAACGCAGTGCTTTCCGGGCGAATGCACAGGGTTGCTGCTGGGCAACCGGTGCTGGCAGCTAGGGGCCTCCTGCCTCACCAGGGGGTTCCAACGTCCACATGAGGCTGAAGCCGTCGCCGACGCCCTGGATGGGTGTGCAGGCCGCAAAGCTGACCGGCTGGCCTCCCAGGCTCAGCTGGCAGCCAGCCGCTGCGCCGTCAGCGGCCCCCTCGGCCTTCGGGCCGGGCGCCGGCGGCGGGCTGCTTGCCCGGCCGGGCGGCGGGGGGCTGCTGCTGGCAGGGGCTGGAGCAGGGGAAATGCCTGCGGCTGCACTTTCGGGGGCCGCACCGTCGGGGGCCGGCGCCTGGCTGGAGATGCCAGCGGACAGGTTCAAGCGCATGCCGCCGTACGGCCGGTCAGGCGAGGGGTGCGGCAGCAGGCTCTCATCGGCCGCCAGGGTGCCGATTGCAAAGATGAAGTTGAAGCCGCCTGGCGCCGCCAGCAGCTGGTCAGGCGGCTGCGGCAGGTCAGCTGTGAAGGCAGCCACCAGGGTGCCATCGGTCGCCCTGGCAGCAGATGCGCCTGCGCAGCAAGCAGGCGCCCCACCAGGCAGAGGGTAAGGACCTGGCTGCTGCCGGCCGTGCGCGATGGTGGGCGCTGGGAGCAGCACAGCGGGCTGTCCGTTGCCCTTGGGCCAGCCTGGCGAGCCTCCCTGCCGCCCTCTCGCCTGCGATGTTGAAGCTGCCGGCCACGTTGTCGGCTGGGGAGTAGCCCACGAGACTGTAGCCATCCACAGAGGCGCCCGAGGGGCAGGCAGCGCACTGCTTGACGATGATGGCATCCGCCCCCAGCATGGTTGAAGGGAATTGGGGGAAGCCAAACCTGCGGGCACCGTGGGGCATGGGGCGGCCAGCCTGGGTCGCAGGAGCCGACAGCAGGTGGATGCGCGGGCAGCACTGCTGCTCCAGCCCGGGCTCCCCCCGCTGCGCCTCCAGCCCGCTCACCCGGCCCACTGCCCGCCGACGGCGGCGGCGTCGATTTTCAGGCCGCCTGACCAGCGGGTGCCGCCGGTGTCGCTGGGGGTTAGGGTGTAGTAAATTTGGTAGAGCGCGTTGGGGTTAAGCGGAGCGGCCTGGCAGCCTTCAAAGGTGAGCTGCTGGTCGCCCACTTGCAGCGAGCAGTCTGGCAGCGGCTGGGGCGTGGGCGCGGCAGGCGCCTGCTGCAGCTCGCGGCCGCGGGAGCCGGCGCCGCCGACCGCTGCTGCGCCTCGCAGCTGCACGCCCTGGAACACAAAGGTCACGGTGCCGCCGCTGGCGTGCGGCGGCCCGGGCTGCACCTCTGCGGTGGCCAGGGTGCCACTGAAGCCGCTGCAGTCCTCGCAGTATGCCACCACCCTGCTGACCGGCTGGGGGCCGCTGTCGTCCGTGGGCAGGACAGCCAGCAAGCTGTAGCTGCCGCCGGCGCGCAGCGCAGCGGCAGAGGGTCCGGCGTGGTACTGCTGCTCCCAATCCAACGCCACCGTATCCTGCGCGCCCTGGGAGCTGGGCAGGAAGGTAACAGCGGCGATGCGGCCGCCCTGTAGCCTGCATCATACCATGATGGCAACGGGCGATGAGTTCCGCTCCGGCTCTCACAAGAGGGGAGAGACGAGGCGACGGCGCTCGCCCCCACGCCCTTCAGCCTTTACCTGACATGGTGGAGCGCCACACCGCCAGAATTTATCTCCAGCTCCATGTCTGCCACCTGCATCAGGTAAGCCAGAGGCTCGAGGGCGCCGAAGAGGGAGTCCGGCAGCTGTCACAAGCGGCGCCGCAGCTGCCGCCGTTGCTGCCGCTTGAGCCGCACCTGTGCGCCCAGCGCCTCTCGCTGCGCCACCAGCGGCACTCGATCAACAGCGAGGACACTCAGGGCGTGGAGCGCCAGCAGCCATTGCGCCAGAACTAACAGCCTCATGGCTGGCTGCCTTGTGAGGGCGGCTCGCTGCCGCAGCCTGCAGATCTTCCGGCACAAAGATGCCGCGCGGCTGCTGCGCTTGTTTAACGCGGAATTACCTCAGCTTTCCTTTAGCTTCTCAGAGCGGCGGTACCCGCACCGACATCTGGCGCAGGTAAGCGGCCGAAACCATGCGACCCCCCATGCTCTCAAAGCGACACCACACATTGACACAGTGCTGTGCCAGCATCAGGTTCTCTCTCAATTTGATGCACACGCGCAGCTGGCCGCCATGCCAGCCGACCGCTACCCAGCCAGCCGCTGCCCTGGCGTCCGCCGACGGCATGGCAGGGCAGCCGTGTTGCAAGGTAAAACCAACGGGTAGCAATGGCAGAAGTAAAACGGGTAGCAAGCGCAGGGACGGAGCAGGCGGGGGGATGGTACAGTGGAGGCCAACCACATGGTGTACAGCTGAGGGCAGGGCTGTTGCCGTGTTGGGTGTTGGGGCCCAAGCGTTCAGTCGGGTTCCCCGCGCGGCTGCTGCTGCTGCTCGGCCTGCTGCCCATGCTGCCCCTGCGCCTGCCGCTCCTGCATCATCAGGCGCAGCAGCTTGCGGCGGCGGGGCGTGGGGTGGCGGATGCGGTCTTCCACCTCTGCCGGCGTCAGCCAGGTGTAGCCACTGAGCCACTCGTGGCTCGCCAGCGCCCCCCAAAACACGCCAAAGCCCGCGACCAGCGTTGCCGCGCAAAACCACAGGGCCGTGTTGCGGCTGCGAGGCCGCCAGTCGTGGGAGTCTGCTGCGGTGCGGGCGTATGCCTGCCAGGCGCTGTGGGCGCTGGCGGGCCCTGGCCCAGCGGCGGGCGTGGCATAATGCTGCACGACCGGAGCAGGCAAACGGGCACGAGGTGAGAGACGCGTGGTCTGCGCAGTGGTGGCGACCTGCTCAGTGCTGGTCAGCCAGAGGCACTGTCCATTGCCCCACACGTACCCCTTTCAGAATCATGTCTGTTGCTCGCTTGATCTCCGAAAACCGGGACGCCGCAGACGGGGAAGGGTCGACGTCTGGGTGGCACTTGAGCGCCAGCTTTCGGAAGGCCGCCTTGGCTTCCGCCTTGCTGGCTGTGGGCGGCAGGCCCAGCGTGGCAAAGGGGTCGGTGTAACCGGTTGAGCTCCCCATCGCCTGCTGCCTCTGGTGCTGTGGGTGCGGTGGGCGTGACGGCGCCCTGCCGCGAGGCGCCGGCAGTGGCGGTGGCGGGTGTGGAGCGCGGGCGCCTGGCGGCCGCGGCTGATCACGTTTGGAGACTCTTGTGCGGCTGCTACAATGGCCTCCCGCCCGGCACTGATGCAGAGTCACAAAGAACGGATGGCTGGACGAGGGCAGGCAGCAGGCTCCCAGTCCCCGCAGATGCAGGGTGCAAAGCCTGCACAGAGCGAGCCTGGGGCTTGCGTTTATTAGCTGCGTTTGCCAGCGAACACCAGCACAGCATTCCCGCAGTTGGAGAATTTCTGTTATTTGCGGCGATCTCTGCAAGCCAAATCTTGTCAGCATCATCGGCAACTGATCAACGAAGCTGGGGCGCCCCTCCGTCACGCCTTGCCATCGGCGACATGGAGGGCACGCTGCTGGAGCTGCAGTTCGATGCAACGCCCACCAGGATTTACACAGTGCATGATGAGTATGGTGCGCTCCCCTGGGTTGTGCCCATGGGCCCCATGCCATTTCGGTCCCGCTCTGAGACGCTTGCAGCCCAGGTTTGCATGCTTGAATGGAGACTCCCTGCGCACTGTCTGCAGCCTCCAGCCCGCCGGGACGCACCCCGCACTCCAACTTCCTGCGCGGCGTCAAGTGGTCGCCCGACGGCGCCTGCCTGCTGACCGCCAGCGACGACAACTGGTAGGCTGCATCTGCTGATGTGCAGTGGGGACGGAGTCGTTCACGTGTGGTGCTTGTTCTTGCAAAGTGTTACGCGCCTGGAGACGTGCAGCAGAGCCGCCAGCAGGCGCCTCTGCCTTCTGGCCGACCGCAAGCATCACACTCGCTGCCCACCTGCAGCCTGCGTGTGTACGACACACCCCTGGAAGCCTTCCATCAGGCCGGCTACGGTGGAGAGGATGCCGCTGGATCAGCAGCAGCAGCAGACGGCATGGACGCCGCCAACGGAACACCAGCAGCCGTGGCGCACCAGCCGGCAGGGCAGCGCACGCCGGCGCAGCCGCCTGGCGCACAGCAGCAGCAGCAGCAGCAGGGCGATTCGCTGTCGCCGGCCCTGCGGCTGCAGTGCGGCGAGCTACTGTATGATTACTGCTGGTTCTCGGGAATGACAGCAGCCGACCCAGCCTCATGCTGCCTGGCCACCACCGGGCGGGCGCAGCCGGTGCACCTGTGGGACGCTCTGTCAGGTGAGGAGGGAGGGCCGCAAGGCCCCGCCAGCCTGGCTGGGCTGCGCCTGCGGGGCTGGGCTGTCAAGCAGGTTACGCTAGCCACGACCTATACAGGACAGGCAGGCACAGTCCACGGGGGGACCCCTCCATGCTACCTGGCTCAGCTCCCAGCTGACGTATGCTGTTGTGGCCTGCTTCGCCTCCCGCGCCTGCAGGCGAGCTGCGGTGCACATACCGAGCCTACAACGACCTGGATGAGGTGGCGCCAGCTCACAGCCTGGCCTTCAGCCTGGACGGCGCCACCCTCTACTGCGGCTTCAACAAGCAGATCCGTAGCTTCCGTGTGGAGCGGCCCGGCAGGTGGGCGAGGCAGGCAGGCGAGGTTGGCTGGCTGGCTGGCTTGCTGGCTTGCTGGCTTGGGCAGTTGTGGGCATGCTGTGGAGGCTGTGGATAAGGTCCGCCCGCCCCCACGCCTCATGCCTTGCCCGTGGGCCATCCTTGCAGGGACTGCCAGAAGGTGGCAACATACAAGAAGGGGCAGGACGGCCTGCCAGGCATGCCTCGCTGCTGCTGCCAGCCCTGCTGCTGGTGCTGCCTGCCAGCAGAGGCCAGCTCGCTTGCTGCCAGTTGACGCGCGGGTGTGCTGTCGCTGCCGCCCGCTGTCCGCCACCCCCCACAACCTCGAAGCCACTCCACCACCGCCCGCCCCTGCAGGCATCGTGTCGTGCATGGCGCTCAACCCGGACCGCGAAGGCATGCTGGCGGCCGGCAGCTACAGCGGGGCGGGCCTGCTGCTGGACACACGCACCCGCGGCCTGCTGTGCCTGCTGGAGGGAGGCCACTCGGGCGGACTGACGCATGTGAGAGGCTGCTGCGGGGCGGATGGCGCATCCGCAGCACGAGGGTCACGCACTGCTCTGCAAGCGGGGTGCCTGTCCTGGCCTGGCGATGCGGATGTGCCTCCGCGCCCCCTCCCTCCTTCCCCGCAGCTCTGCTTCTCCGCCGACGGAAACTTCCTGTACACTGGCGCCCGCAAGGACCCAGCCATCCTCTGCTGGGATGTGCGGTACAGCTCAGGTGCGGCGCCGGGCGGCGGGACGGCTGGGTAGTGCCTCGCATGCTGCGGGGTGGCCTCCGTGCACAGGTTGGGCTGTCGCAGCTGTGGGCAATGCTCCATCTCCTTCTTGTCTTGTTGCAGGGGTGGTGTACAGCATGCAGCGCGCGAGCGCGGGTACCAACCAGCGCATGTACTTTGACATTGAGCCCTGCGGACGCCACCTGGCGACAGGTGGGCGACGGGACAGGCCATCAGCGCGCACAGAACCGGGGCCTTATGGCCGCCTGCCAGAGACTGCTCCTTTTTCCTGAAGCCGCCGTTCCTGCAGCATCGGCAACAGGCAGGCAACGTGCTCTGCTCATGCTGCTCTGGTGTTGATTGGCGGGCTGCTGGCTGCCTGCGGTGCAGGCGGCGAGGACGGAGTAGTGCGTGTGTTTGACCTGCGAGACGGCAGCGTGGCGGGGCAGTTTGTGGCGGCAGAGGACACAGGTGCACACGCCAAGCCTGGCTTTGTTGCCCGCTGAGGTGGAACCCTGTGGCCCTGGCAGGGGCTGAGCTGGCGGGCTGAACCGAGCCGGCTGCCGCCTTGTGCGCCTGGTCCGCCTGCAGTGAACGGCGTCCACTTCCACCCCTTCCTGCCGCTGCTGGCGACCGCGTCTGGCCATCGGCGCTACTTCCTGGCACCTGATGATGCCAGCTCAGCGTCCGACAGCGACAGCGAGGCATCCCCCAGCAGCAGCAGCAGCGAGAGTGATGATTCCGCCAGGGACCGGCGCCGGCTGTCGACGCAGGAGAATGTGCTGAACATCTGGCACTGCTCGGCCATCCCAGCACATGTGCAGGCGGCAGCGGACGAGGAGATGGAGGATGCAGCAGGGGAGGCGGCGGCCGGCGAGGCAGCAGCAGCGGCATTGGGAGCATAGCTCTTGTCGACAGCCAGTGTTGACAGCATGTTGCCAGCTTCTGTTGAATTTGATCATTCTTTGTCGTTGTGTGGTTGCGCCTCAGAATGCCGAAGCTAAGAGAAGATAGAGAAAAGGGGAGTGGAAACAATAATTTTGGCAAATCTATCGAGCAGTGCTGTGCAGCCGTAAGTTAGAAAGGGACAGGCGATGCAGCAAATGGGCTGAGGCCGCTATGCATGGGCCTTCAGGCGGGTACGCCAAGGAGGGCATGGACAATAGGTGGTGAGACTGGTGGTGTGCAGTAGAGGTGTATCCAGTGAAATTGACAGATAGGAGAGGGCAGGGCGTGGCGCATCCTGCTGGTCATCAGGCTGGCCTGTCATAGGCAAAGGCGGCAGCGCCGTTTGGCGCCTTGGAGGGCGGCTGCGTGAGCTGCACCGCCGCCTCGTCGCCCCTGCTGCCGTGTCCAGCGTCCAGCGCCCGTAGCCTGCGGGCCCTGCAGCAGGAAGGCGCAGGTGCACCCCACTCAGCGGATTGGCAGGAGAGGAGCTGTTGGCTGCTGCTGCGGACGCACAAAAGCAGCTTTCTCGCGGGCTGGCAGAAGCATCGTCCCTCACTTGAGGAAGTCGCTGGTGTCTTTGACCACAGAAACCGCCACGATGGAGCAGAGCACGGCGGTGTAAGAGGCCCAGGTCCACACACCCAGATCCCACATGTGCAGTATTCCATAGTAGATGTTGGCAATGGCCAGCACGGCGGCCTGTGGCAGGGCAGGCAGAGGGCGGAGCGGGTCGGCTGGCGCGAGTGGCCACCTGCGCCGCTCGCAGCAACCACCTCTGGCAGACCAGCCCCCGCCCCCGCCCCCGGCACATCACAACGTGCCGGGCCAGCCCAGCGCCGCACGCGGCCTCACCGCGCGGCCGACCCAGGCGTGCCACAGCTCCCAGGCAAAGCGGTACTTGTCGCCCTTCTTGGGGCGCACCACCAGGGCGGAGAACTGGGTGAAGCCCAGCACGGTGCAGGCCACCCCCAGGTTGCGGTGCACGGTGTGGTCTGCGGGGCAGGGTGCGGGAGGGGAGGCGAGGGCCAGGCGGGGGCCTGGTTGGAAGCCGTGCAGGCCGGGGGCATGCGCCGCATGCGGCAGGAGGCAGCGGGGCGGGCAGCAGCGGGCGGGCGGCGCCGCGTTGGTGCGCGCACATGTGTCGGTTGTCTCCCACTGGCCGTCCACGAGCTGGAAGCCCAGGCCCAGGGAGATGGTGCCCAAGACGAAGCCCAGCGTCTGCAGGCAGCGGGCAGGCAGCAGCACACACAGGCATTGCACTCCAGCAATGCATCAAAATCGATGTGGCGACTGCATGCCTGTGAGGGACAGATGGGGCGGGAGCACGCAGCGGAGCAGCAGGCGGGTGACCCCCACCTGCAGGCCGCGGTGCAGGTGGAACCACAGGGGGGCAGCTTCCTTGAAGCTGCGCGCCATCACGATGCCCACCGGGATCAGCACGCCCCAGCCAATAGCCGCCATCCATGCATGCGCCTGCGGCAGCGGGACAACCGAGATCAGCTGGCCGGCAGCGGGGGCGGGGACCAGGCCCGCCCAGCCTGCCCAGGCGGCCCATGCTGCAACAGGGCACGGCACTCACCGAGCGCAGGGAGGTGTCGTCGTCGCTGCTGCCGCCCTCCACTGCTGGGGGGCCAGAGGAGCTGGCGGAGGTGCTGGCCAGCGGCAGCACGGCTGCGCCATCCGCGTAGTGCTGCTGCAGCGCGCCGCCCGGCAGCAGGTCGCCGGCGGCAAAGATGAGCGGCATCGAGCCGTCGCTGCCCTCCAGGAGCAGCAGGCGGCGGCGGCGGCCTGCGGCACAGGGACACACGGACACACACAGGCTGGCAGTCGATGGAATGTGAACCCCTGGCTGCATTCAGCCGCCTGGTCAGGCAGCGTCCTCCATCCCCAGCAATGTGTGTTATGGGGACAGCTGCACCAAGACAGGCAGGCCTGCCGGCAGCGCAGCCCCGCACCTGTGGTGGGGGGGGCATCCACCTCGATCTGGAAGCTGCCCACCAGCTGACCCGTGGAGGCCAGGGCAGCGGCCTGCACGTTGCTGGTGGCCATGTTGGTGCTGGGGTTGACGTCTGCAGGTTGAAGAGGGAGCAGGTTGGAGGGGCGGCCGTCGACGGGCCGTGCAAGCACGGCAGGCGACCAGCCATTCCATTCCACGCTGGAGTGCCCTGCGCTCGCAGAGCCGCGCCGCTGGAAGGCGCCCACCTGATCTGCGGGTGCTGGACATGTACCACTGGCCCAGCTGGGCCCCGCTGGCGCAGCCGCTGCCGCCCGCGGTGCACGCCTGCAGGACCATGGCGGTGGCGCCAGCCATGCGCCCCGGGACGCTGGGGAACCCCACCGCCACGTAGCCGCTGGAGGTGGCATTCATGCCCATTGTCAGCAGCACCTTCTGCGGCGGAGGAAGAACGGCAGCAGCGCAGCGGTGAGACCCGGTTTGGCCTGCCAGCCCGGCTCAATCAGCAGCAGCACACAGGGCAGCATCTGCGGACAGCAGCCAGCCAGCCTTGGCTGCTTGCTGTGGGGGGGAGCTTACGGCTGGGTTGGAGGCCACTGCCTCAGTCCTCCACATGACATGGAAGTTGGAGCCCACGCCGCTGACGAGGGTGCAGCCGGTGAAGCTCTCAGCTGCAGCGCCCTCCGCCAGCTGCAGGGTGCAGCCGCTGCCGCCACTGTTAGCAGGGCTGGGGGCGGGGCTGGGCGCGGCAGCGGCGTCCACGCTGCCGTCCCCCTGCTCTTCGCTGCTGCCCGTTGGCTCGGCCGCTGGGGCAGCGGCTGCTGGGCTGGGTGGCGCGCTCGCTGCCTGGGCAGGTGATGCAGGTGTGGGCGTGGCTGCTGTGCTGGCCTGCTTCATCTCAAACACACCGCTGCCGTAGGGGTACCCCCCAACTGCGCACCACGGGGCAGCGGCAGCCAGTGCATCCATCAACCATCAGCTGAAGCATGCAACCGTCAGCACAAGCCTGAGCACCCGCCCCGGCTCTAGCTCTCCCGGTGACCCGGGACAGGTGGCCAGGCGCCCGCCAAGGCCCTCACGTGCGTGGTCCTGCAGGACGGGGCTGCTGGTGGCGGCGCCTGCCACGGGGCCGATGGCATAGATATAGTTGGTGGCGGCGCCAGCCACGGCGCTGGCGGTCTTGTTGGGCAGGCTGACGGAGAGCACGGCGCGCAGCTCGCCTGCGACGCGGAAGGCAGCCCCAGGGAGGGGTGGGTAGAGGCGTGGCAGCCTCACGGATGTGAGAACAGGACACAACTGGCACATGGCTGCCCACACATGCCCCCTCCTTCCCTTCCACAAACGCGCCCACCTGCATCGTTCTCGGCGGCGGCCTGCGTGATGGGGAAGGTGCCCTTGGCGGCATTGATGGCTGCCACCTCGTAGCTCCTCTCTGGCAGCAGGTAGCCGGCCACCTCGGCGCCTGCAGGATGAGGGCACACGAAGGGGCCCACAGGCAGCCAGCGCTGAAGCGCTTTCTGACCATCTGCAATAAAAGCACTGCGAAAATGAACGAGGCCCCGCCGCACCTGTGGCTGTGGGCCAGACGATGACCGCGCTTGCGCCCAGCATCATGCCGGGGAACTTGGGCAGGCCCCAGCTGCAGCAGACACGCAGGGAAGGAAACGCAGCAACGTCGGGATGACATGACTGGCATATGGCCCATCCCTTGAGCATGGTGGACATTGCCAAAGCACCCAGCACAGGCATCTCTGCCTTGGTTGCCACAAAACCACCACCGAGCAGTGAACACACGCATGCTGGCCGCCAGCCCCGGCCGTCGCTCACCCTGCCCAGCCGCCGCCCGTCTTGGCCACCAGCCCCATCTGGAGCAGAGACCCGCTGCCAGCAGCAGTCACGGTAGAGTAGACGGTGAATGAGAAGCTGGAGCTTCCGCCGAAGCGGGCGCTGACGTCGGCCTGGGTGCAGGATGCAAAGGTGTAGGCCGTGCCGCCCAGCGTCATGGCGCAGTTGGCAGCCTGCTGCAGCTTGCGTGCCGCCGAGGAGACGGCGGTGGCAGCGCCGGCTGCTGCGCCGGCCGCTGGGGGGAGGAGAGCGCCCTCCAGCACAAGCACCACCGCGCCTGCCTCCCCCTGCTCCACCTTGTGGCTGGTCACCAGGCCGGTCACAGCGTCCTGGCTGCCTGCCACGCGACAAGCACGGCACCACAGCTGTACCAGCACTGGGCGGCTGCGCCCAGCAGGCAGCGCCACGCTGAGGCTCCAGCTGTCGCTGGCACGGTCGTATGTACGCTCGAAATCCAGGGCTGGGGCTGCTGCCAGCTGCTGGTCTGCCGTCGCAGCATGCACGCCAGTCGGGCTGTCGGGCAGCAGCAAGGCACGCAGTGCATGGCGGGGGCAGCCTTGGAACCTGCAGCAGAAGCAGTCGCAGCAGATAGGAACGTGTGAGTCAGTTAGGCCTGAAAATGAAGGGCTGGGATACATGCAATGCCTGGCAGGAATTGGACCCAAAAACGCGCGGCTGCCGCTGCGCGCACCTGAGCCCCGCAACCGCCAGCGTACCATCGCCACACGCCACCACCATGCCTGTCTGCTGCGCCCGCGCCTGCACCCGTCAAAGCGCTCTGGCCAGCTCAGTGCAGCCGCAGAGGTTCAGGGAGCGGGGGCAAAGGCTCGAGCAGGCACGGGCAAGCGTCCTCACCTCAGGCTGGAGGACGCCCGCCAGGCTATGGGCGGCCTGCATCCATGCACAGCTGAGCACCGCCGCAAGCACTGCCAGCCGCCTCATTTTGGGCTGGCCGACCGGCACTTTGTGTGAACAGCGCAATGAGTCACACTTCGCCCTTTTCTCCTGAACCCGGTGACCTGTAAAGCGGCAGGATAAAGGGAACCCGTGGTTTGCTACGTTCCCCCCTTCGAAGTGTGTACTGCTGGTGTACTGCGATACACATGACGCGGCGGCGGCGCCGCCGCCGCAGCCGCCCTCTCCGAGCGCTTCCGGCATGTCTGCAACGTGCTGCATGTTACATTGTCTTCCCAAGTCCCCCTGAATAAATGAATTGCCTGCAACATGCACCTCAAGCAGGCAGGCCATCCGTGTCTGCTCTGAAGGCCAGCAGCGCCATTGCCGCCGCCACAAAGGGTCCTGCGATGAGCCACTTGAGGAGGCGGTAGAAGTGTATGTGGAAGGACAGGCTGCATGGGAGGGGTGGGCAGGTGGAGAGAGTGTGTGGGTGACGGGGGAAAAGTTGATTGGCAAACTAAACGATGATGCGCTCTGGCGGCCTCAGGCACAGCGCCAGCCCAGCAGGCAGCCAGGCAGCCACGACAGGCGGGCGGCTGGCAGGCCACTGGCTTGTAGGCCCAGCGCACCTGAACTCGTCCACAAAAAGCAGCTTGGTCTCATCCCGCATCTCCACCCTGCACCCCGACACAGCCAGGGCAGGTAGCTTAGACCAAAGGTGGATGCCTGCCGCAGCGCCGCGCACACGCACGCCCCGACGCCGCAAGCGCATCAAGCAAGCCGGCCACGCCACGCCCGCGGCCTGCGCCGCCGCGCCACCAGACGGCCCCCCCGGCCCACCTGATGGTTGCTGTGGAGCGGGAGCGGGGCACGGGTATTTCCATGGTGAATGCGCCCGTGGAGTTGATCACGTCTGCCATGCCGATCACCGGGTGCTCCCCCGAGTTCATCTCGCGCTGGCCCACGCCTGCGGCGGGTTGGTTGTTGGGAGGGGTTTGTTGGGGAGGGGACCCCCAGGCGGGGAGGTGGGAGCAGGAGGGGGCAGGGCGGGGAGGCCGGCTGTGATGATCGGGAGGCGAGGCGCGAGGCGGTGGGTGTGACCGCGCACATGCTGGGCGAGGCACGAGGAGGAGAACAGGAACCCGACCTGCACCCACCATCCACCCACCCACCACACCCTCGCTCACCTGTGAGCAGCAGGGAGACCTTGTACGGCCCGCGCCCCGGGATCTGCTTGCGCTTGGCCCCCGCCGCCCC